CCGGTGGAAGCTCCTTCGAGCTGGCTCCCGTGTCCATTTGAGACGTTTCCACCATTCTTTGAATACCTGCTTATTTTCTGGCGCAGCAGCATATCTCAGGCTCATCTTGCTCTGTCTTTGCCCTGTCTCCAAGGAGCTGTTGACAAAGGACCTCTAAGGACCTCTCCCTTCTGTCAGTGGAGAAAGGTGTCTAGAAGGCAACATTTGGGTTTTAAGTGTGCTCACTAATGCTGGGCTGTCAGTGCTTCTCAGAAGACAGATCAGTAGATTTATACATGCGTATACCCATATGTATACCTCTACCTACTCCTACTGTTAAACCCACGAGTTCACGTGGATTTCTCTAAACCCCACCCAGTACTGTGAAGTTCATTCTGCCTTTTTCCATTTCCATACTTGCAGCTCCCTTCTCCAGAATGTGAAACTTGGCTCCTATTTTCACAACATATTTATATACTTGCCAATTTCTAGAATGTCAAAACATCATTTCAGAATTGTTAACCTCTGTTAAGAAAAAACAAAACAAAACCCTGCTAATTAGAATTCATTATTAGAGTTCTTTTTTTCTTTTGCCTGTAGCCTGAGGGCACATTGTCCGAACTTTGAGATGTTCCTTGCGCCAGGTTCTTTCTCGCCGTCCCTCTCAAGTGTGGTTTTGCGGTTTGTTTGAAATACCGTTTGGTGCACTTGCTTTTCCTTGTGTTCTACTCCCCCCCCCCCCCCCCCCCCCCCCCCCCCGCCCCGCCTGTCTTCCCTCTTTCCTTTGGTGTAAACCACTAACGTGTGTACAAAAGCCAAATCAAGAGAGAAAAGTTCTGTCTAGAGAAGCATCTCCCCACCCCAGCTCCCCTCTTCCCAGCCCTGGCCTTAGGTGACCGGTCTCTCTGCAGGTGTGCATGCTCAGTTGTGTCCGACTCTCATGCCTCCATGGTCTGTAGCCCACCAGGCTCCTATGTCCACGGTCTGCAGCCCACCAGGCTCCTGTGTCCGTGGAATTCTCCAGGCGGGAATACTGGAGTGGGCAGCCGTGCCCCTCTCCAGGGGATCTTCCTGACCCAGGGATCGAACCTGTGTCTCTTGTGTCTCCTACACTGCAGGCTCAGTTTACCACTGAGCCACCTGGGAAGCCGCATCCCTGGGTGTCATGTAAAAAGATCCCGGAGCAGGGAGGGGTAACCCAGGAGAAACTGTTGATGTTCCACTTACAGCTACTTTTCACATTATCTTTCTGAAACTTCTGTTTGTGTGTGTATGTTTTATCATGTGTCTAATGGACAGGGAGGCCTGGTGTGCTGCGATTCATGGGGTCGCAAAGAATCGGACACTGAACTGAGCTGAACTGATTATATGGGTAGAAAAGTATTTATGTATTCTAAAGTTGTGTGCTCAAAAAAAAGTTTTTTTTTTAAAATTAAAGTGATAGTGATATGTAATCAAAATAGTTTGGAGGCTTCTGAAAGAGTTGCTCTCTAAGCTAGAGTGGGTCTTTGGTCCAGAGGTGACTCTTGTGACCCCACCTGCCCCCGCCACATGGGATGAGCAGCTGGGAGTTCACGGATTGATTTGCTCACTGGCTGGGCAGTGAGGTTAATGCAATGAGCAGGAGTGCATTGCCCACACCTCATCCAGAGGCTTCCAGCCCTTCAAAGAAGAACATGGGGCCCTGGGTCACCCCAGAGAGGCTCTTGAGTGAGATTTGGTGGCTGGACTTCCAGGGAGAAACAAGAGACAGTGCAGAAGATGCCTGTGAGCCTTCAGCTGAAGGAGGGCCTGGAGGAGGGGGGACTGTGGCTGTGGATGGAGCTCACACTGCATAGATCTTGCATCTCCGGGGGTCTCAGGAGGCTTCTCTGTACCACCAGCCCCAGGGCAAGCTCTTCTCAGACAAGTGCAGATGCTCAGAGCCCAGACTTGGGTATCACACTTCCCGACTCTTCTGCTGGCTAGCCACGTGAGCTTGAGATGTGGAGTCTGAGTGTGTAACTTTCTGTCTCTCCTCTCATCCTTTTTAACCCTCTCATCAATGTACCATGTTTTCCATAGGGGATCTTGGGGCTCAGAGAGGTGAAATGCTCGTGGAGGGTCACGCAGCAAGTTGGAGACTGAGGCTCGGCTGGAACGTGGGGCTCATTGCCGAGTCTGGGCTCCGCTTTCCACCGCGGACTGCGTGCTTTTCTTACTTAGACTTCTGCACTTGAGAGAGGGGTTCTGTTTGCTTTAATGTTACTCTAATGCTTTTTTGGAATCCATTTCCTTTGTTTATTTTATAGCAGTATAATTTGCAGTGAAATAGTTTTACACTGAGCTTACATGTTTTAATGGTGTTTTAATGGCATCTTAATGGTGTCTCCATGGATTTGCCAACCGATACTTTTGTCATCCTAACTTCCCCGCGTGACGATCGGCACCTTGAGGCAGTGTGGCCATGAACTGTGGCCTGAGCTCCCTTCCAGGCCCACTGGGCAGCCTCTGTGTTGGGCATCCACTGTCTCAGGGCAAGGGGGCCTTTTTCCCCAAGGAGAGGAAAAGGGAACATCGGTCCCCCACGTGACGGGGTTTCACTTTGCCACGTGGTTGGCTTGCTCCTGAGGTTGTTTCCCACTTACGAGTGTCTGACCAGGAATCACCCGTGCAGAAGAGGAAGTCCTGGTCCCTGCCCCCAGCCCCTGCGGCTATGGAGGGCGCGCACCCACCATGGAACCGGGACGCTGGCCCTGGAGGGCGTCGGCTTGCCTGGGTGCTTTGCTTTCGGTTGTCCCCGCGCCACCTCATATGCTGAAGCATCTGTTCTGCTTTTCTGTTTTGGAAAATGTGACACAACAGTTCAAGTCTTGCCTAGTGAAGCACAGAAGGCCCTTTAGGGCTGGGCTGGGCCTCAGCCATTTGGGTCTTCCCCAGTGCTTGGCAAGGGCAGGAGCCGGAGCAGGGGCCCAGCGCCTGCTCACTGAACAAATGAATGAATGAAGGCTTGATTCATGTGAATGCAGGCTGACGACCACGGTAAGAAAGGAGGAGGTGAAACTCAACCCTGGGACTCTGTCCAGGACTAGCATGGTGGTTGGCCCTGCTCCTGGCGCAACACCCGGCTGCAGAGAGTGGGTCTCCTCCGTTTCTACCGCCGTCCAATCTCAGCCCCGCTTTCTCCTTGGCTTCCGCAGGACCCACCTCCACGGAAACATCCAGCGCCCGTTGCGGGTTTGCTGCGCCTATGGTGTCAGCACCCAGTACGTGGTACTCATGCGCTAGGAAAAGCCACCCAGAGCTGGGCCGGTACCCCAGCTCTGGCGCCTGCAGGCTGCGTGGGCTTGAATGAGGCGGCTGCTGGCTCTGGCACCTGGGTTCCCTTATCTCCGAGTTGGGAGAATGTGTCCCCGTCTGCAGAGAGCTCTGGTAGGGATGTGGGATGCTGTGTGCAGCACGTAGACACCTGGTCATTAGTTGCTACTGTCCTGATTGCGATCGCTCTTACCGTTCCACCCCCAAGGCAATCGTCTGCTGCCCCTGCTTGCCCGCTGTCCCCGCTGCGTGGCCACCCACAGCCCTGGTGTGTTAACCCCTCCCGCAGTGGGAGAAGGGAGATGCTGTCGTCAGTGTATACATCTGCAGAGCTGCTCCGAATCCCAAGCCGACCACTGAAGCCCGAAGGGGGCTTCCAGGGCGCGGCCATCCCACCCTCCCCCGCCTTCTCTTTCTCTTTTCTTCTGATGCACCATTGTTTTCTCAAAAGGAAAAGAAGTGGTTGGAGTCAGGGAGAGAAATCCCCAGGGCCCTGTTTCAAACGATTGTCCCATTTCTAAACTTGAGTTAATAAGAATAAACAAAGTACTAGGTGGATTTGCACAGAAGAATATTATTCTGACGATTATGTAAATATTTATGCATTCTGGCTTTCTCATTTTGTTACTGGTGTCTAATTTCTGAGTCTCATAATGAAGTGTAATTTGGAGAAGCTTTGCAGAGTCAGGCACAGCAGTGAAATAATTTGATTTGTTCAGTAAACTTGGTTTCAGTTATTCCTTTTCATCAGTTCTTTTAGACCACCTTCATGTTCTTTGTGATTTGACAGCCGCTTTTAGCCCGATGAAGATATGACTCTTAAACATTGCCAGGAATTCAGAAGCGGTTTATAATATTGTTGCTTAATAAGAAAATGCATTCATCTGCAGGATATAAAATTTATGGGCTTCAAATGGATTTGAGTTTGTAGTTTTAGCCCTCTGCGCTCCTGCCATTCTCGAGGCTATGAGTAGGGTTTTTTAATTAAGTCAAATTGAATTGAATGAGCTTTTATTGAGCGCCCACTCCCTGCCAGACACAGTCTCCTTAACCCGTGCACCGCCTGAATGGTGGTGAGGGGGAGCCAGCCAGCCCAGGGAGGCCCAGCGAGGTGGTGCCCTGAGCTCAGGCATCCAGCGGGTCAGTCGGGTGGGATTTGGAATTAGGGCTGAGGCTTATGCTCTTTCATCCCCAGCTGATTACAGGCAGAACTGATTAGGAAGAAGAGACAGGTTGAGTGGCTTTGCATATGTTATCTCCTTTAATCTCTTTTAATCTTCTCAACCAGCCCTTGAAGTTCAAGTTTGTTTCATTTCCCTTACTTTACATCTGAGGGAACTCAGGCGTTGCTGAGCCTGGTCACAGAGCTGGAGAGATGGAGCCGGGGGTTTGAACTCGGAGTCCTCTGGGTCCAAGGCCATCATTCTTTCTACAACTCCTGGTGCAGGGGGTGGAGGTGGGGAGTGTGCGATTGGGGCTGGGAGGAGTGTGCATTTCTGCCACCGCACGACTGACCGCCTGCTGGTGGATGTGGCCCGGCGCGTAGTGACTAAGGCGCCCTCCTGTAAACCGCGGCGAGGGGTGGTGCGGAGGTGGGGCTGGTCTTCAGTTTCCTGGGCACTTTCTAACTCTGAGCCCGAGCCAGGCCTCCTCTCTGACCATCACTCTTCCTGCCGGTGAGTGAGTGGGCATCTGAAACTTCCTGGTTTTTTTTTTTTTTGTAGGATTACCTATGCTATGTGGGAGGCACCTGGTAGTGTCTGTCACGCGGCGGGCCCTGCACTGAGGAGCCCTGCCCTCTGGAGACCTGCTCGTTGCCACGGCCGAGAAGCCGAGAAGTTGCCTCAGCCCCCGCGCTCCTGTGCGTCTCGGAGCTGACTGCCAGCGGAGCTGGGTGACTCATGTGGGGGCATTTTGTGTGGCATTGTGCAGCTCAGCCTGGCGCAGCACACCACACCCACAGCAGGTAGTCAAGAGCCACTAGTGTTTATGAAGGGGATAAAATTGCCCGAATGGAGGGAAGCCATCAAAATAAGAGCCTTCGCCTGTCTCATGGAAGTTAACTTGCAAACCTAATGACTGCTGGGCTGTCGAGAAAGTGTCATCTGGATGTCTCACTGGAGACAGAACTCTCCAGAAGGGCAGTCGGGAAGCCCCTGATCGCCTCGTGGGGGCGGGGGAACACATTTTACATGACAGTGAGTTGGAGAAATTAGCAGTGGTCTCTGAGGAGCCCCCGTTCCCCGTTCAGCTTAACCCTTTGAGTCGCAACAGCTTTAAAATAAATCCAGGAAATAGCTGTATATATTCTTTTTGCTCCTCATGTTTTCTCTGCAAATAAAAGCGATCTTGAATGTCTGAGATTCTGGTGACAGAAATGCCTTTCCTTTGTGAAGTACGTTGCTGGGGCTGGGAACAGAACCAGCACAGCATATTCTGTGCTGTGGGGGACGGGTGGGGGGTGGCGAGGCCAAGAGGTTCATCCAAGCCCCTCTTCTGGTCGGGGCTGGGGGAACAAGTGGATCCCTGACTTTGGGCCCGAGGCCAGGTTTACGTCAAGGGGAGGATCCATTGTTTAAAAACAAATGTACGTAGCAGTCCCCGAACAGTCATTTTCAAGTCATTCTCTGATAAAGATAGAAGGCTTAATTTAGGCAAATTTAATGGTTTCAGAGCATTTGGCGTAGTCCTGGGGTAGAAAGCAATGTTTTCCTTATTCCGTTTCAACCTGACTTCATTCCTATGTTTGTATGTTAAGTGTCAGTTTATACCAGGGGAGCGTTTTCCTCTTGGATGCGTTTGCACCTGACAATTTGTGCAGGAATTCCTTGATTGCAAAATAGCTGCTCTCAAAAAAATGCAGACAGGCAGCCGTACTCAGGAGCCCCTCGGCCACGGGCAGCGGGCTGCTGCCAGACACCTGGGTTTGAGCCCCACTTGGGGCTTGCAGCTCAGTCCTGTCTCCGCTGCCCTTTGCTGGCTGATAGAAGGGTGGTAGGGTGGGACCCCGCATAAGGTTATGGGGGCCGTGGAGACTGGCCAGTGTGATACAGGGTAAGCTCTCGGGGGCAGGGGACCACACTGGGCACTGAAGGATGCAGGGATGGAAGGACAGGCCCCAGCCCGTCGAGGTGGGAGAAGCTCATGTGTCCGGGGCTACACCCTGCCCAACTTTCCAGGCGGCCTCCAACTTCTGGGGTATTTAGAGGCTCACTTCTTGTTTCTGTTCCTTTTTCTTATTTTGGGCGAGCTGGAGCAATTCTCCGATCAGATTATTTGGATGATCTATATTACCACTGATTATTTACGAAGGGCCAGGCCAGGAGGGAGGTAAGCAACTCGATTAATTCGTCAGTGAGGCAGCTGGAGGGACATGTGACACACAGACCAGGCTGTCATCTGACCAGAGCTTATCTGCGCCGGGATTGTTCCCCCAGGGTGACCATGATGACAAATGTAATTGACATTTTTTTTATTAACCCTGAAATGATTAAAGAGGCCGCTGCCGAGTGTGTGTCAAAGTGCCTGGTCCCCTGGCCTTCTGAGTGAGGCCTCCACGTTGGACGTGATGAGCAGCCTCGTGTTTACTTCCTGCTCATCGATTCCATCAAGCAAGGCCCACCGAGCTCTGCCTGAGTTGGTCTTGAAAGCAGGCCCGGGAGCCCAGGTGCTGCTTCCTGGCTCAGGTTCTCAGAGTGTTCTGACACCAGTGTTGTGATGGACACTCAGAACGCGCTCTGTTCATTGAGCGTCAGGCGTTAGCTGGGCCCCTGCTTCACGGTGGGTCCCGAGATGTGCAGAGCGGCAGGTTGGGGGCCCCTCCCCTCGAAGGAGCGGTCCCTGCAGAGGGGGAATGGGTAGACATCCACGGGAGCAATTGTGTGGCCCAGGTGCTGGGAGCAGGACCGGGGCTGCCCTCACGGCCAGGGGGGAGGGACGGTGGCACAGGGCTGATGCGGGTCTCAAAGGGAGGGCGTCCCCTCGCCAGGCAGAAGGCCCTCACCTCGGGGGCCTTCCAGGCGGAGGTGGAAGCAGTGTGAGGGCACGTGGAAGGGGGTGAGTTGGAGGGGGCAGTGAATGGCGTGCAGGAGCATCCCCCGGGGCGGCTCGGTGCGGCCCTGCAGGCGGGCTGGGGGCTCAGTGGAGACCCACATGGGCTTGCTGCTGCCTCACCTGCCGCCGAAGTCATGAAGCTCTCTGCTCAGTTCCCTCACCTGCAATACAGAAGCAGTCGTCATGGCCTCACACCCATCAATGCTGCCATGACGATGAAGTGGCCCTGGGAGTAAAGCTCTCGACCCACTGGTCCTGGGCAGGGCACCAGGCAGTGGGCATCCCCTGGGGCGGGGCTTGTGGGGGTGCAGAGTCCCCCTTCTACGGTGCCAAGTGCTGGGCAGAAGCTGCCACCCTGGCTTCCCATCTCAGATCCGAGAAGCCTCCTCTTGAGAGGGTCAGGCAGTGGTGCAGGATCATACGCCGCTGTGCAGGGGCTGGGAGGGGGCAGGGGCCTCCTCTAAGAGGAGCGAGCTTGTGTAGCAAGGGGGTTAGGAAGTGGCCGCCTCACAGAGAGAACAGGACAGTCACAGTGCCCCTCAGTGGAGTGATGCATCGGACGTTTCCCCAGCACCCCTCTGCCGGGGGTACACAGGTTCACTCAGTTACTGAGCAGTATTTACCAGGCACCTACTGCATTCTGTCTGAGCCACATGGGCTTTCCAAGTGGTGCTCGTGGTGAAGTCAAAGTCTAAGTGTTAGTTGCTCAGTTGTGTCCGACTCTTTGCAACCCCATGGACTGTAGCCCGCCAGGCTCTTCTGTCCATGGGATTCTTCAGGCAAGAATACTGGAGTGAGTAGCCATTCCCTTCTCCAGGGAATCTTTCCGACCCAAGGATTGAACCCAAGTCTCCCACATTGCAGGCAGATTCTTTACTGTCTCAGCCACCAGTGGTAAAGAAAAGAACTCATCTGCCAATGCAGGAGACATAAGAAATGTGGATTTGATCTCTGGGATGGGAAGATCCCCTGGAGGAGGGCATGCAGCCCACTCCAGTATTCTTGTCTGGAGAATCCCATGGACATAGGAGCCTGGTGGGGGTTACAGTCATAGGGTCACGCAGAGTCAGACGTGAGTGAGTGGCTTAGTACGATGCACTGTGTTCCAGGCATTCTGTGAGATCCAGAGTACCCTGGTGGGTACGCGGTGGGGAAGGAAGGAAAGAAAAGGAAATGGTGACATGTCTAGCAGTGGAGATAATTGCCATTTCAGTCTTGAAGTGGTGAGTCTGTGTCATTGAAGTTTTGTATATTGGCCCCCCACCGACCCCCACTGAACCACCCTCCCCCCTTTGCTGCCCCCACAGCACAGACTTAGAAGGAGATTTACCCCTTGTGACTTAGACCTGTTGCTTGGGAGCCTTTCCCATCAGTTTAATCTCTTCTGCCTTTTAATCCTGCGGCTGGCGGGATGTTGCAGGGGCAGTAATTTAATAAAAGTATGCAGTTTGTAAAGCAGCTGCTATTCTGTGTACTAAGCACATTTGCCAACCTTTTCAGGGAAACCTCCAAGCTGTTCTTGGAACTTGGCGATACTGCAGGGAAAAAAAAAAGTTATATTTAATAACATTTCATCCTTTGGGTTCTGCAGCTAATAGTAGCCTAAATGGGAGCCGTGTCTGAAAGCCATTTCTTCATGTGATTCAGAGAACCAGGACGCTGCAATTACCCCGCGTACGAGATTTATGAAAACATTAATGCCTAACAAGAAGCAAACATCTCAATAAGTTATTTAATTTGAAGTTGCAGGCCTGGCGGCTGGTTCCTAACTCAGCCCTGCTGTCAGCCCACAGGCACTGGCTCGCTCGCTGGCTCAGAGGCGGGGTGGGGAGCAGGGCGAAGCAGAGCTGGGTTAGAATCCCGTTTTCCTGACTCGGGAACCCACCCCTGCGAGGGCAACCTCGTTAGGTCTGTAACATGCGGCAGCCACATGATCTGCTGGTCAAGAGACACACATTTAGCCAAATTCACGTGCTACACGCCTTCCCTTTCTTTATTTCTCTTCTCCCCCCGAACTGACGTAAAAAGGAGAGTCACACACAAGCAGATGTCAGAACGACTGCGTGCTCTGCCTCATCAACTGGAAGAGCCACCAGTTGAATTACTCCCGACACCATCTCTGCAGATGGCAGATGTGGGGCGGGAGCCCGGGGTGGGGGCCATCTATTTTCCTGTGTCCGGTGATAGCTGAAGCCTTAATTCAAAAACAAATTAAGTCCTTCAGCTGTCACTTGATTGTTCCCTCAGATCTTTGGGGATACATATCATTGCTCCTGCCTGGGATCTCGTCTCCTTTCTCTCGAAGCTTCCCACCACCTTTTTTTTTTTTTTTTTCTCTTTGCCCAGAACTCAACATTTTCTTTTTTTTTTGATAAAAGCATGCATTATTTAGAGCCTGTCGCTTCCTGAAGTTCTTTAATTACAGAATTAAACCAAAGTAATGACAGTTTAATTTGTTCTTTCATTAATTGGGAGCGCTCGGGGCTGATGTGAAGTGCGTGCGTTTGGGAAGCGTTGAGGAACGTGCGCTGAGTGATTGGATCATGAGTCATAATCACGGCTGTCTATCGCCCGCCTCGGTGCTCCTCTTGCACATCCTCAGTTTATCCTCCTGGCTGCTTGGAGGAGGGGGAGGCCCCGCTGCTCCATCCCACAGATTGCAGAGCGAAGTCTGCCCAGGCAGCTGGAAGGAGGGCCAGCACCACCACCCCCGCCCCCGCCACTGAGTCTAGCCGTCCCACCCCAAGCCCCTGTCTGGTTCTTGGGCCCCAGCAGTGGTCTCAGTCCCATGAGGGGCTGCGCTTATGAAGACCTGGGGTTGGGCCTGAGAAGCTCACACCCGTGCCTGGCCGAGTGCTGAGGCTGGACCCATGAAAAGGAATAGCAAGCCAGGCAGGAAGGGGCCGATGCTCCACAGAGGCTGATGGCTGATGGCAATGGGTCGACTTCCAAAGTAGCAGCGGGGGTGTGGAGAGGCGTGTTTGCAAGCACAGCCCGTCCTGTTTGGTTTGTGGGTCAGGAAAGCTGCCCTAGGGAACCACGCTGGGCGTGTTACTCTAAAGCCCATGGTTCGAGGTGGAGCCCAGGTGTATGATGCTCTGTCTGGCCTGGGCTCCCCTCTGGCCAGGGCCCAGCCCAACCCTGCCTGGCTTAGGACAGGTCTTGTCGCCAGCTGAGGCTGAGGCCAGGACAGCTGCTAAAGCCACAACAGCGGTCCCAGGGCAGCTGTGTCTCCTTGGACACAGGAGACCAAGACCCAGGCCTTGTTCTCCGCACACTGACCCCAGGGCCCGCCAGACCTCTGGACC